AATAGGGTTGGAGGAGAATTTCTTAAACATAGTAAAAAGTATGTATGCAAACCCAAGAGCCAACACTGTTCTCAATGGAGAAAGATTAAAGGCATTCCCTTTGAGAAAAGGAACTAGGCAAGGATGCCCACTATCACCTGTTCTATTCAATATTGTATTGGAAGACTTAGTGATAGTAATAAGACAAGAGAAGGAAATAAGAGGTATCCAAATTGGCAAAGAGGAGGTAAATTTATTGCTACATGCAGATGATATGATAGTATACTTAGAAAACACAGCAAGAAAACTACTGGTCATAGTTGACTAATTCAGCAAAGCGGCAGAATACAACATCAACATACAAAAAAATAACTGGATTTCTCTACAGTGACAAAGAGAAAACAGAAGTGGAGCAAAGAAAAACAATACCCTTCACAATAGCTAATCACAAGACTAAATATTTGGGAGTAAACCTAACCAGAAGCACAAAAGATCCATTCAAAGAAAATTACAAAACATTACTACAAGAAACAACAACAACAAAACCAAACCCTGGAGAAATGGAAGAATATCCCTCCTGCATGGATAGGAAAGCTCAATTATGAAAATGACAATACTACCAAATGCAATTTACACGTTCAATGCAATCCCAATACAAGTACCAATTCCTTTCTTCAACGAGGTGGAAAAAGCAATCTCCAGTTTCATCTGGACTGGAAAGAGGCCCCGAATAAGCAAAGGACTCCTTAAAAAAGAGAAAAAAGGTTAGAAGGCATCTCACTCCCTAATTTCATATCTTACTACACTGCTGTGATGGTGAAGACAATGTGGTACCGGTACAATGACAGACACATAAATCGATGGAATAGAATTGAGAACCCAAAAATCAGCCCATCTACAATAGGGTCAACTGATTTTTGACAAGGAGATGAAATCAGGTAAGTGGGGAAACAACAACCTTTTAAACAAATGGTGTTGGCAAAATTGGAAGTTTTAGTAGATCCATACTTCACTCCATACAAAAAAGCCAACGAAAAGTGGATCAAGGACCTAGGACTAAAACCAAGGACTGTAAACGTCCTTAAAGAAAAGCCTGGAAGAACTCTAGAAGCCCTAATCCACAACATAAACAGTCTTTCAAGAATCCTGAAAAACCTACAACCAGGAGAGGATAAAATAGATGAATGGGACTGTCTAAGAATAAAATCTGTATACACATCCAGTAGGGTAAAAAGGGAAGCCACAGATTGGGAAAAAATATTTGGTAATGACAGGTCAGATAAATTTATAGAATTTATAAAATACTTGAGCACCACAACAAGATAACCAACCCAACTGAAAAATGGGCACAGGTATGAAAAGGCACTTGACCAAAAAAGACATTCAATTCAGATGGCGAACAAACATGAAGAAGTGTTCAAAATCCTAGCTCTAAGAGAGATGCTCATCAAAACAACTATGAGATATCATCTCACCCCAATAAGAATAGCAAAATTTAAAAGAACAGCAAGCAACAAATGCTGCAAGGTTGTGGAGAAACTGGAACCCATATTCACTGTTGGTGGGAGTGTAAAATGGTGCAATCACTATGGAAGGCAGTATGGTACTTTCTCAAAAAGTTGCAAATAGAAATACCATTTGACCCAGCAATTCCACTACTGAGAATGTACACTAAAGAAACTAACTGTCACCCATGCAGATATATGCACATCCATGTTTACTGCAGCTTTGTTCACAATAGCAAATAGCTGGAAACAACCCAAGAGCTCATCAACAAATGAATGGCTAGGGAAGCTCTGGTATATTCACACAATAGAATATGATGCTGCACTGAAAAACAAGGAAGTCATGAAATATTATACAAAATGGGAGACCCTGGAAGACATTATGCTGAGTGAAATATCTCAGTCACAAAAGGACAAATACTGCATAATGTCACTGTTATAAAGCAGGACTGACATCATGGTTGAGGGGAAACTAAGAAAAGAGGGAATAAATAATGTATACTGCATTGAAAAAGATGAGGGAGAGAACTGTTTATGAATATATGACTGGATATTACTGTCATGATAACAGTCCAGAATGAAAGTAGCATAGTTTAGTGAACTGGTGAGGGGTATTATATAACAATGAAAGATTTTATTTATTTATTTTTTTTTTACTTTACAAAGAGAAAGGCAAACTGGGGGGAGGGGTGGGCAGGGAGGAAAGTGTGCGGCAAAGAATGAATGGAAATTCAAAGTCTCTATAAACTTCCATTAAAATGAATTAAAGGAGAGAAAAATTTTTAAAAGTGATTAAAAATATCAAGAATTAATGAAATACAGCACAACATGGCTGAAACTAGGATAAATACAAGTCAGTCCACAAAAGGATAATTATGATATAAAAGCATCAATACAAAAAGCTAAGAAATAATTTTAAAACAGATATAATTAATCTTAAGAGGATTATCAGAGAGGAGACAGGAGGGAGAAGGAAGAAAAAAAGTAAAATATTAAAAGTTTTTAAAAATAAAAAAAATATTACAGTCTTGACAGTAGATTTACCCAATGAAACATGTCTTGATTGTGTTACTATGAGTATCAATTGTGGATCCAAGGAAAATGAAATCTCTGATAATCTCAATCTTTTCCCCAATTATCATGATTTTGTTTATTAGTCCAGCTGTGAGACTTTTTTCCTTGATATTGGGGTGTAATCCATAATGAAGGCTGTATTCTTTGACCTTTGTGTTTCAAGTCTTCTTCACTTTTGAGGAAACAAGGATGAGTAACCTGCATAATCTAGGTTGCAAATTCTGATACTACACAGTCTAGCTCCCTGATTTATTTGCTCAGCATACAGATTTGAACAGGTATGGAGAAGGGTTACTACCATGACATATACCATTCCTGATTTTAAAGCATGCAGTGACCTCTTGTTCTGTTCAAATGACTGCTTCTTGATCCATGTGGTTCCTGCTAAACTACAATAAAGTGTTCTGGAATTCCTTTCAATATTATTCATAGTTTATTATGATCCAAACATTTAAATACCTTTGCATGGTCAATAAAATACACATAAACATACTTTTCTGGTGATCTTTGCTTTCGGTGAAGATCCATCTCACAGCAATAATAATATCCCTTCTCATATGACTGGTATCAGAGTATGGTATCATGAATGGCTAACATCTCCTTTGAGTTTAGCTTGACTTTCTGACAGTCTTGTGTCAATATACTGCTCCAGCCATTTTAAAACCTTTTTATTTGCATTTCTCTTTTTATTTTTTTATTTTTAGCAAGACTTTATTTGTATATAGTATTAATGACATTGTACAGTAATTTCTGCATTTTTTTTTTTGCTCAGGTTTTTTGTTTTCCTCAGCGGACAAATACAGATCTCATCTGGCTGGCTAGCTAGGTAGTTCTCTTCCAAATTTCTTGACACAGAAAAATGAGCAGGTCTAGGGCTGTATCTACTTTCTGAAACACTTCAATTGCTATTCTTTGAATTTCTGGATTCTCAGTTTTTCCCACCAATGTCTTCAGTGCAGTTTGAAGATCTTCCTTCAGTAACTCTAGTTCTTGATCATATACTACTTTCTGAAATAGTTCTGTGTTGACCAACTCTTTTTTCGTGCAGTCACAGTATATTCCTTCCATCCTCTTTTGACGCTTCCTGTGTCATTCAATATTTTTCCCAAAGAACTCTTCATTATTGCAACTCAAATTTGAACCTTTCTTCCATTCTCAGGAAGTAATAAACTAAATTAGTAAACAAGGACCATAGTTGGACCGTGAGTTTGTTCTGATTTATGGTATTAAGCTATCTATGGTCTCTTCGCACAGATGTGATAAATTTGACTGCTGCTGTATAGTCATCAGGCAAGGTCCAGGTGTTTGTCACTGACATTTATGATTTTAAAAAAGGCATCTGTAATCAATAAATACCTGGTTGTACAAAATTCGGTCATGGGCTCTCGCTCTGATTCACTACGATCACCAATGTCCTATTTTCTAAATACTGATTCTTTTTGTTTCCAACTTTTGCATTCCAGTCACTGCATATTTCACACATATCTAAAGTATTGCTTAACCTATGAAAGACAAGTTAACAGGAAGAGACTATGCAAACCAAAGAATATACACATCAACTAATTTTAACTCTTGCAAATTAAGATTGGAAAGCTATGTCAGTTTCAGAATCTTTGTATCTACAGTCAGAAATAAAAAGAGAAATAATCTAGACTTCCACAGTGCTCTTCACCATAACTGATAAGCCCAAGGGAAATCCCAGAGCTAGTAATCTTTGTTAGAAAATAATTACAGTAATGTATCAATTTAACAAAGTCATCAGGATCACCAATTTCCTTTTTTTTTATTCTCTGTAATTTAACAGTAAAGGGGGAAAATGACATTATCAGCAATGGAAATCAGATATGGGCTAAGTAAGACATAAAGACAGGTGAAGTCAAACTTGAACCTGGACAGTGTGTGAAGTCCTGACTTCCTACCACTATTTTATAATATTCTAATGATGTTTCAAGAGTATTCTAATAAAAAAAATGAAATTAACTAATATTGAAGCACTGGTTATGAGCAAAAGGTTTTCAACACATTTTGTGTGAGAAATAGGCAGACTGTAATGTGAATAATAAGAGCACAGCAATCAGTTTAAAAGGGGGTAAAAAAGGGTTCAATAGTGTCTGTGATAATACTGTACGTCTGTGTTTCTAAAATCGTATAAAAATGGTATGGGAAAAGCAAACATAAGGTGGTATAACAGCACTCTGTCACCATGCCCCGGCAATACCGCCACCAGTGCTCGGTGCCGAATGTACTGGACCAATGAAAAGAGTTAATGTTCCCATTATGTGGTGTTAAAATCTGATATTTTAGATTCACCTAGATGAGTATCATTCATGGTTGCACATGGGAAGAGAATTAGCTGATATCCTTTTGCAAATAGATGTTTAGCATGTTTCTTCCAGACACATAATTCGCTGAGTAGGAGAGTAAGTGATCTTGAGGGTCTACCTTTCTTTTATGATGTGTTGTAGAGGCATCCATTTCTTCCTCCCCGATGTTATCAATCTGTGACGTGGGACTACAGTTCATTCTCTCCTCTTCTTGCCTCTGCAGTCTGTCTGCAACAGCCTGGATGGCTTCGGTCCATTCTTCTCTATGGAAATAAAGAAAACTGTCTGTTAATAAACCTAAACAAACCTCTTCTGTTGATTCTGACCATGGCAGGGCTTTATTGGTGATAAGTGTGTGTGTGTGTGTGTGTGTGTGTGTGTGTACACACACACTGTCAAATCAGATCTGACTGGTACAGGAGGAGACTGTCCCTCCTTCTCCAGCAGAGCATCTTGTGGATTTGAAACTTGTGCCTCTGAGACTGCAGTGCAGCTTCCTGCCACTAGGACACCAGAACTCCCTTATTGGTGATAATTTTTAAGGGAGTGGTTTGCCAGGTCTTTCTTCTGTAGCACCATCAAGCAAGTTCAAACCATTAATGCTTAGATCAGCAACCAAGAGCTAACCATTTGTGTCACCCAAAAACCTTTACCCACCGAGAGAAAAAAAATTACAATTATGCAACTATTTTCATTCCTAAAATATACAATCAGTTCAAATGTAATATAGCCCCAAAAGTCCTTATCATAATGATGCATGCGTGTGCATGCACACACACAAAACACACACACTCTCTCTCCCTCGCTCCCTCTCCCTCTCCTATCTCCAGCCTAAAGTGACAATAACCCTGAAAGAAACCACATTATGGGCTGATATTTGGGTTAGCATTTATTAGGAGGCAAGTTTTATTGTTTTCTTTTTCTTTTTAATGACTACTTTAACTATCCATTTAAAATCTTTTAGAAGTACAGTTAAACTGTTTGCATGCATTATACCTATAAAGTAAACGAATCCCCAAAAATGCTTACTTGGTTTATGTCTGTTTTGGTCATTGTAAACCTGGCACTGGTGAGGCTCAATAAGAGGTCCAAGAGAAGGTTTTTTTACGTCAAACTCTTTCACTTTTCCCAGGTCAGATTACTTTAAATAGCCACAGTTTGTTGCTCAACAAAATTTTAACTTTCTGACTCAACGAGACCCTATGCACAAAAAATCCAAACTCTGCCGTATTCTATGCCATCCTCACAATCTCTTTTGTGTTTTAGCTCATTGTTGCAATCACTGTGTCAATCTACCTCCTTCAGGAATTTTCTCTCCTTCACTGACCCTCTAGGTTTTCCATGTATGATGTCATTTTTCAAAGATGAGATCTGATCAAATGCTAATATAATGGGAGATGAAGTTTCACTTTCTTTTCTCTAAGAAGCCCCCTACCTGTACTTCTTCCAAGACAGATATATTTGTTCTTTTAATAGTTCATGATATAGTAAATGTTTTTTAACAAAACATAATCCAAAGGGATCGGTTCTTCCGTCTTCCTTATTTTTTTGTCCAACTTTCACAAGCATATGAAGCAATGGAAAAGACTATGGCTTTGGTTAAGTATACGTTGGCCTTTAAACAAACATCCTTTTTCTTTAGTACCTTAAAAGGGTCCTTGATACCAGATTTGCACAATGCATGTTTTTATTTCTTGACTGTTTTGCCACTGTTGAGAGTTGATTATGGAACCAAAGAAAATGAAATAATTTTATAATCTCCAACAATCAATCAGGATTTTTGTTTTTTGAGACAGAACTCAAAACAATGAGGCACTACCTCACTCCCCTAGCCAGTCTGTAAGAATAAGATAAGGCTTAGAACCATGGCACTTTAAGTTCCAATCTGAAGGATATTTAGTAGTGGGTCAACCACAGTTCTGAATGAAGACACACAGCAGAAGGCTCAGAATGTGCAAAGGCCAAAGGAACAAGGTGCGGGGGTGACAACTCAAAAAGGCCTCAAGAATATGATCAGAAGTACACAAAAGAAAACACTAAAGTGTTCAACTCAAATCAGTGTTTTACTAAAAATTAGAACATGAGTAATTTCTCTTGTTGCTAGGTGTCATCAAGCGGACTATGACACATAGCAATCCTCTAAACCCTGTCCTGTCCTGAGCCTACTCATCATCTCTGACACCCTTGAGCCCACTGTTACTGTCACTGTGCCAATCCATCTCATTGAGGGTCTTCTTCTTAAGCTGGTCCTCTACCTTTCTAAACATGACCTCTCCAAGGACTAGTCCCTCCTAACAACATGTCAAGGTATGTGTAATTTCTAGTTGTTTTTAATTTTTTCTTTCTTTTCTAAAGCAATCACACATAACCATCAAATAGTTATTCATAAAACAACACATCATCACATTCTGGGGGGTTTTAAGGGTTTGTTTTCCCTTGATCTTCAACAAGTCACTTTAACACGCTATTTCTGCATTTGAAAAACAAGGTTAGTAACATTTTCTTTCACAGAATTGCTAATTAGGATCAAATATGGCAAGACAGGTACAGGGTACCGATTTGGGGATTGTGGTCCTTGGCTCTAACTCTGTAGCAGAGCCACGAGACAAAAAGGTTACCGAGACAGGATTGGGGTAGGCTCAGGCGGACAACAATGTGGTTCTGATGGAGTTGGTAAGCTGACCATTAATATGGAGGCATTCTCTCCCCTATTTTAGCATTGATGATAACTAATGTTAATCAGTCCTGATATATTTCCTTATTAAGTGTGGACTTAAACTCTGAATCTTTCTCAACAAATCCCAAAGTGCAGCCATTTTCAATTACTTTAAGATGACACACTACTGGGAATATTTTTTACCAGATTTCAAATATGAACATAATCAACTCTACAAGTTATAAAAAAGGGCAGATGGGTTAAAATGCTCTGTATTGCTATTTTAAGTGTTCTATAATCTCTCAAGTAGAATTTTTTTTAAAACCGTTCTTCTAGCAGCATTGATTTAGTTTCTCACCAGCCCCTGTTACTCATCTATTATAATCCAAACAAAAACCAATTAGGAAACTACAGTGCTGGACAACTCCAATTCCATTTGGCCACCAATGCATGACACAATCAGGTACGAGTTCATCTTGAGACTGGCTGCTGCTTTGTCACAGGAAAATAAGATGCTCACCTTTCCTCCGGGGTGTCGACGTGAAATGTCCGCTCGATAACCGTGGTCCACTGGAGACATCTGATGATAAAAGTGTTTGGCTTTGGTCGTTCTGTTTTCATTAACTGGCATTCTAGGGAGAAAACAAAATGTCTCTTAAAAAAAAATAATCTCTCACTAAAAGCAAACTTGGGGGGAGGTATGGGCAGGGAGAAAAGTACAACAATGAATGAACAGAAATCCAAAATCTCTGTAAATATTCATTAAAATTAATTTAAAAAAACCCCTCTCTATCGGTCTATATCTAATCCAGTAAGTTACATAGTTGAGAACTATATAGCTTACCTTCCAAAACAAAACTTCATGCAGGTTTACAGCTTTCTAGAGATCTCTATTCAACGTTTCCAAAAACCTGATCTTGGTACTGTGTTTTAAATCCTTGCCCATTCCAGCTGATGCTCTTTATACAATGAGACTTTCAATCAAAGTTTTCCCCAAACACAGTTTGATCTGTCCTGTACTTTCCTCTGCTCCAGCTGTTCTCATGATCTGGAAGGTTTCCACCTCTAGTTTCTATCACCAACAGTCAAAACAGTACCTACTCTCCAAAGTCCTGATCTAATCTTATTTGTTCCACAAACCTTTATAGCAATACAACCCTAAGCGGGCCACTTTCCCCCTCTATATTTTCATTACTTATTACTGAACTATTACTCATTTTTATTAGCACAGATGATCATGTTTTATCTATCATTTTAAAAACGTATTCTTTTCACCACTTAGATTATAGGCCTTCTGAGTTACAAAGTATGGCACAGAGAAGCTTTCAGAAAAATATGATCCTATTATTAGGTAGACAGGAGAGCTTTTTAAAAGCTTAGCAGTGTTAAAAAAAAAAGCTTAGCAGTGTTAAGCAGTATCTGTCCTTTTGTGACTGATGTTGTACTAAGCATAATGTCCTCCAGGTTCACTCATGCTGTGTAGTGTTGTACAGGTTCATTGGTTTTCAGTGCAGCATAGTATTCCATTGTGTCAATGTGCCATAGTTTTTCTATCCATTTGTGGTGTTTGTTTTTTTTTATTATACTATTTATTTACAAAGTTTGATTACATTGTTCTTCAGACAACATCTTTACCATTTCCTTCACCCCTCCCCCTGACCCATCAAACTCTGCGACCCAATGATTAACCACCCCCTACCCACTACCCCCCGTCCCGCTTCTAGCTCTCCCCCTTGGATCCTCATACTCATTCTACAGTAATGGTTTTATACAGTCTTTGTTCTTATGGGACTGAGTTCGTTCACTCAGCATAATGCCCTCCAGTCCCTCCCAATTTAGGTAGTAATTTACAAAATCACTGCTCCTGCATGCTGCGTAGTATTACAGTGTGTGAATGTACCATAATTTCTCAGTCTATTAGATGGTGATTGTACATCTGGACTCTTCCCATGTTCTTGTGATGGTGAATAATGCTGCTATAAACACTGGTGTACAAGTTTCCATTTGTGCCTCAGTTCTCATTTTTCTCAGGGTATAATCCAAGTAGTGGAATAGCTGAGTCATGTGGAATGTCTATGTTCACATTTTTGAGGAAGCATCAAACTGCCTTCCAGAATAGTTGTTCCACTTTACAATCCCACCAACAATGTATAAGCGTTCATATCTTGCCACATCCTCGCCAACATTTATTACTTGCTGTCTTGTTGAACTTTGCCACTGTTACTGGAGCAAGATGGTATTTTGTTGTGATTTTGATTTGCATCTCTCTTCTTGCCAGTGATCTGGAGCATTTTTTCATGTGTCTGTTTCCCATTTGACTATCTTCCTCTGTGAAAATTCTTTCCATGTATTTTGCTCATTTTATAATTGAGTTATCAGTCTTTTTCTCATGGATGCCCTGGAGTATTCTGTAAATTTTCATTATGAGACACTTATCTGAGATGGTATTGTCAAATGTATTCCCAGTCGGAAGGTTTCCTTTTCACAATGTTGTAAAAAGTTTTTAACGCACACAGGGATTTAACATTAAGACAGTCCCATTCATCAATTTTATCCTCTTCAGACTGTGTGCATTTCTGGCTGTATTTGGCAGTCTCTTTTTATTGAAGACTGGCACTGCTAAGCTTGATCCCAGTTCGTCTCTGATGAGCTTTTTATGGTTTTGGGCTTTTCTCTCAGATCTCTGTTCCACTTTGAATTGATTTTTGTTTATGGTGTGAGATGTGGATACTGTTTCAGCTTTCTGCAGGTAGCAGTCCAATTTTGCTAACACCATTTGTTGACGAGGTTGTCATTTTTCCATTTGATAGCTTTTATTTCCTTGTTGAGTATCAGTCGACCATAGATAGCCGGGTCTATTGCTGAGTTCTCAATTCTGTTCCACTGGTCTATGTGGCTGTCATTGTACCAGTACCATGCTGTTTTGGTTACCATCTCTGTGGAGAAGGTTTTGAGGTCAGGGAGTGCTATGCCTCCCACTTCATTTTCTTTTCTCATAAGTATTTTGCTTCTTTGAGGTTTCTTTCCTCTCCAAATAAACATGACAATTTCTCTTTTGATGTTTTTTTAAAAAATGAATGTTACTGGGATTGCATTGAACATATAGATTGCTGTTGGTAGGATTGTGATTTTTACAATATTGAGTTGTCCTATGCATGAACAGGGTCCCATTTTCAGGTCTTTTATTGTGTCTTGCAGAAAATGCTCTGTAGTTTTCTTTGTATAGGTCTTTTGATCTCTAGTTAGGTTCATTTCCAAGTATCCCAATTTGTGTTTGGCTACTGTAAATGGTATTTCTTGGTCTCTTTCTCTGAGCTCTCTTTGTTACTGTAGATGAATCCCACTGATTTTTGGATATTGATATTATTTCATTTGTCTGTTGATGGGTAATGAGCTGCTTCCAATTCTATGCTATTGTGAATAACACATATCTGTTTGAGTCATGGCTCTGATTTCTTTAATGGAGCTGCTGGGTGAAATGGTACAACAAATGAATAAAAATAAAAAAATAAAAAAAGCTAAGCAGTATTACATGACAACAGAAAACAGAGATAGTGTTGTCTGCTGACACCTTCCCTTCACAGAAATTACTGAATCCCACATTCACCCTAGAGGCTCTTCTTAGAGACATTTTAGCTTTCCTCTATCTCTACCAGGTATCAGCTACCACTGCAGTGCCTTTTGAAGACAAAGGCAATACTCACATTGAACTAATTGTTCACATGGTAAGAGATTCTTCAGCCAAGGCTACTATTTAGCGTTTTCCTTTCTAACCACCTTCTACAACGTCAGCCATCGTCACAGTTCGCATATAAAAATCTGATTTTTTTTTCATCTTATATATATTTTTTAAGTTCTAGAAGCAGATGCACTGCTTACCCAAAGGTTCCACCTCTCTGGTGGCTGGAATCCACCAGCAGCAATGAGAGAGACAGATGAGCAGTTTGCGTCCATGAAAGTTACAGCCTGAGATACCCAGTGGGGGGTCAGCTATGAGTCACTGGGACTCAAGAGAGCATGAGTGCATGAGTATAGTCGCTGTTTCTACCTGACTGAACGTCAGCACCACCCCCAAAACCAAACTCAGTACCATTTCCCCTAAATCAGTCCTTCCTTCTCATAGCTTTTAGAATTTCCTTACCCAGATTGAAAACCTGGCATGGTGTTTCACACCTGTAGTATCTGACACTGCTTTACACTGAAACTGTCTACTTCCATTTCTACCTGCCAAGTTCTAGACCGTCCCAGCAGCCACGAAACCAGATTCTTTCTCCTCAGAGATGTTGAGAGGCGAGTTGAAGTTCCTGCAGAAACTATGCTCTGAGTAACAACCCAACTCTCTCCCCAGCACACCTCCAACTCAGATGATACCAAGTTTACCTTCTCAATTGCTCAAGGGGGCGGGTGGGGGGAATCTTGGCAGCATTCTCAGTCCTCTCTTCTCACTTCTGGAAATTCTGTTGGCTCTACTTTGAAAGCAGAAGTGGCATCCACTTCCTAAACATCATGCCTCTGGAAACTCTATGAACTTTGTAAAAGGTCAACAGGCTTCAGGACTTTTGTTCATAGGGTCGCTATGAGTCGTGCTGGACTTGAAGGTAATCAACAACTATGAAAAGATATCCAGGGCCTGGTAACTTCCCACTACTTCAACCACCTAACTAAGTCACTATTGTCTCTCAAGTGCTGACTGCAATAACCTTGTAACAATTCTCCTTGCCTCCTTCTGTGATCAGTTCTCCATAAAACAGTCAGAAATCTTCCTAAATGACCACAAAAAAATTCTACAATGTCTCTAATCTAGTAAGAATAGAAGACAGGGAATATTCTTTATATGGTCTTCCAGAGTCATATGTGACCCTCCTGCATGTCTGGACTCTTCTTCCCCAGCAATGGACTTCAGGCCCAATGTGCCAGTCACCTGCAGCTCTGCATTCACCAGCAAATTCTGCACTCTCTCTGGTCAGTGCATCTGCCTCTTATCTCAGCCTGGCATTCTCTCCTCTCACATATCTACCTGGCCAACTCCTTCACATTCTTCAACTCCAATCTCACCTTCACATTGAAGCCTAGACAGACACTCCTAGTTAATAAAGTAACCTGCACTCTTAACCCATTACTTCAAGCCCTCTTTCCAGCTCTCCTTTTCTTTTCCATAGCATGGTACTACCTTCTAACATACCACTTATTTCTTACAATTCTTGTTTGATGGTTTTGTCCCAAACTAGAATATATGTATCACTGATACAGTCGCAGCACTTAGAACAGTATCTGACACAAAGGAGATACTTAATGTATCTTTTCTATGGTGGCTTAGTGGTAAGGAATTATGCTATCAACCCAAAAGCACAAATCCATCAGGTGCTCCATGGAAGAAAGATGGGCAATCTCTGCGCTAATTCTGAATATACAGACCAATTTTATCTGCTTCTGATAACCTGCTGAAGGGTCAGCTATGAGTCACCTACTGAGTTCTAGCTCAATGGTACATAACAATAATAACAGATTCACAAATACATATTTTTTATGAAGCTGGAAAAAAGAGTATTTCTGAAGCAATTTTATCTTAAAGATGTGACTCTAGTCATGATTACAAACATTTTAGTGATATAAGAGGAGGGGAAACAGAATC